GTAGAACAAGAGAGCGGTATAATGAATAGCTTTCCTGCTTCAGATTGCTTCTTTGCCTTCCATCATGGGTTAAATATTAGAATATCATGAAAAATGTTGTTCAAGGGTGTTAGTATAAATTTTACCTATTTACAAGTAAGTCAAAGGGTGCATTATTACTTTATAATAGGACTACCTACAATTTTAATTGAAAGAGTAAACTCAAAGATGTAATTAAATTTATGTACAGCTTTCTTAGAACAAATCTGTTGTATAATATAATATACAATTATAAATGGGACTTAGATTTTTATAGCAAATTTAATCATAAAACTCATTATTCAGATGTGGTTCAAAGATACTGGTCAAAAATACCCTTTAACGATCAGAATATGAAATCCCACAGGCATAGTTGATAAAGGGAAAAGTCAACAACTGCAGTAGGGTATTTCAAACATCTGAAAAAGGAGCAAAAGCCCTTTGCAAAAATTCTAATGAAATCAACCAAGAAATATCTTTCCTCGAGGGAACAGACGGCTAACTCCCAAGATAACAGTTACTGACCACGTGCCAGGTCCCCAAATTAGAATCTCTATCCCAGGCAAGTATTTCCTTTAAAAATCCCATACTTTTGAACATAGTGATTCATTTTTAAACTTTTTTTTTATTATGGAAAATCTCAGGCATGCATCAGAGCAGAGATTACAGTGTAACAAGCTCAAGGTACCGATCACCCAGCTTTAACAGTTACCCGTGGGTTGCGTCTCTTGTGTCATTCGTATCCCACCCGTCCACCCCTAGATTATTTTGAGCCAAATCTCAGACATCGCATTGTTTCATCTCTACATATTTCAGTGTGCTTCTCTAAAAGACAAAGACTTTTATCGAAACCATAACCGCAATACCATTATCACACCAAAACAATTATCAGTAATCCCTTAATATCATCAACTATCCAGCCAGTGCTCACATTTTCACATTTCCTCAGTTGTCTTTTTGGGTTTTATTTGTGCAGTTTGCTT